ACGGAAGTTCATCCCATTCACCGAGCGCGTTCCCCTACTCGCAAAGCGCCTACTCGCAAACGTCCGAAAAGCACATGTTCGCCTCGAGGTAAGGAATCGCAGATCCCACGCGGAGGATCCAGGCCATTTGCGAGCAGCAGCTTCGCGAGTAGTGGAACACGCACGTCTACCCGCCCCCCCTCTTCCCTCCTCGCTCCTGCCTGGGCCCTGCCTCCTCTCCTCGGCGTTGGCAGCGGCTGCCACACGCGCAGCCGTCGCCACCGCCGAGGTCTTCGTGCGGGGGCCCGCGGGGTGGTGCCCCACGGGGGCCTCGGCGACGGCCCCCGGGGCGCTCTCCACTGCTGGAGCGCCGGCGCCGTCCTGAGGTCCCGGGAGGTCTCTCGAAACGAGGCCCCGCGGGAGCCCAGGCGAGACCTCGCCTTCCACGGGCATCGTCAAGATGCGCACCCGTCGCTGTTTGCTCCGAGGAAGACAACACGTCATACACATAAACGTGTGGCGCTCCGCGCTGCTGGGCCCCCCCCGGCGGCGCCTCCGGCGCCCCCCTGGCGCGCTCCGCGCCAGGGAGGGGGGTCTGGCGCAGATCCAGGAAGTTCGCGCGGAGCGCCAAAAGTGAATGCTTGTGGCGTGTCTTGTTCTTTCTCTAATCCTGGGAGGCCCCGTGATGCGAGGCCCCGCGGGGGACCCAGACGATGCTTTGTCTCCCGAGCGTGTGCTGCCACCCGCGCTGCCGCCGCCACTCTCGCGAGACCCCGGGAGGCTCGTCGGATCGAGGCCCTCTGGGACCCGAGCGACCTCACCATCCCCAGGGCTCATTTCGACTCTCCCGATTCGATTCGGTTCGATGTCGATGGCTTCCGATTTCGATTCGATCCTTTTCGGATTCCGATCTGGGCTCCGAGTTCTCCATGGAGGCCTACCAGTCTGCCGATGCCCGCCGATTCGACCTCTCCGTACTCGGCTGCCGATCTCCGCCGATCCATTTCATCTCGATCGCCGATCCGGCTTCTCGATTCGATGCTGGGCTTCACTGCTTCCCTGGGTGCGCCCCGGTACCTCTGCAACCGTCGCCACCTTCGTGAGCTCCCTCTTGGGAGGTCCAGGAGCCCAGCGGGGCGTGGCCCCCACAGGGGGCTCCAACGAGACCCCGCCGTTCCTGAGCGCTGGTGGTTGTGCAATTGGGCTCACGTTCACGAGCTTTTGGGAGGTCTCACAGGTCTGCGGCCCTAACGATGTAAGCAGTGCTGCCTCCTCTCTTGGGTGCTCTGACCGGCGCAGCTGCCGACACCGTCGTGGGCTCGTGGGAGGCCCAGTGGGGTGCCGTCTTGTTGTCGGAGACCAACAGGCATGCTCCATCACCTCAATACAGGGGACTGGTGACAAAAAAACATTGAGCGGTATTCTGATGATTGGCACCAGGACCCACCGCGTTCGATAGTAGCTGCCCAGGTGTGGCGAGGTCTCGCCGGGTGCCAGCCTCTGGCCACTCGAGGGCGCCTCGATCGCTGGCTGGGCGTGGCGACGTCCCGCTTTTGGTGCCCGCCCGCGCGTGCCTCGAGGGCGCCTCTCGTGCGCTGGCTGGCTGTGGCGAGGTGCCGCCCGGTGGCCACCTCCTCCTCCCCCTCCTCCTCCTCCTCCTCCGCCTCCGCCTCCGCCTCCGCCTCCGCCTCCGCCTCCGCCTCCTCCTCCTCCTCCTCCTGCTCGTCCTCCTCCTCCTCCTCCTCCTCCTCCTCCTCCTCCTCCTCCTCTCCTCCTCCTCCTCCTCCCCTCCTCCTCCTCCTCCTCCTCCTCCTCCTCCTCCTCCTCCTCCTCCTCCTCCTCCCCGGAGTCGCCCCGCGGGGCCGCCTCGAGGGCACCTCCGTGCGCCGAGGTGGCTGCGGCGAGAGGTCTTGCTGGGGGACCGCCCGGGGGCGCCGCGTGAGCGCCCCCGTGCGTCGGGCGGGTGCGGCGGGGTGCCGCTCGGTGCCCGCCCCGTGGCCGTCTCGTGAGAGTCCTCCTCCTCCTCCTCCTCCTCCTCCTCCTCCTCCTCCTCCTCCTCCTCCTCCCTCCTCCTCCTCCTCCTCCTCCTCCTCCTCCTCCTCCTCCTCCTCCTCCTCCTCCTCCCTCCTCCCTCCTCCTCCCCCCTCCTCCTCTCCTCCTCCTCCTCCTCCTCCTCCTCCTCCTCCTCCTCCTCCTCCTCCTCCTCCTCCTCCTCCTCCTCCTCCTCCTCCTCCTCTCCTCTCCTCCTCCTCCTCCTCCTCCTCCTCCCCCTCTTCCCTCCTCCTCCTCCTCCTCCTCCTCCTCCTCCTCCTCCTCCTCCTCCTCCTCCTCCTCCCCCTCCTCCTCCTCCCCCTGCGCAGCTGGCACCACATCGGTTACACCACGCGGCTTCCACCACACAGCTTACACCCATCTTGCACTGCGTAGCCTACGCCACATACGTTGCATAGCGCATCGGGTGCCACATGGCTTATACCACATGGCTTGCACCACACGTCTGCCACATCCACAGTGGAATTTCTGTCTTGGGTGCACGCTGGCAATGTCTGTGTGGGGATTCCAGTGTCCATGTTTGGGCAGGCGCGGCTGTGGCTCAGCCCACAAACGGTGAAGCAGAGTTGCAGCGAGGCGCCCACGGGAGCTTTGCGTCGTCGGGTTTCTTGCGAACTGTCTCGGTGTGTGTGCGCTGTGGCCTTCTGGCTGCCCAGGTCAGACTGTTGACCCCCCCCAACCTGGGCGCGCGGTGTTCGGCGCGGCTGCGAGCTCCTCGAGCGGAGGCCCCGCGGAGTGCGACGGGAGGCCGCGCGGGGCCCCCCCCCACGATCGGCGGCAGGGACGGCGTCGCCAGAGCGACGTGACGACGCAGCGATCATCACATCGCGTCGCCCCCGCGTGCCGTCCGCTGTGTCCCCACTCGTCCTTGTCGCTGCCCCTCCTGTCTGCCCCTCGCTCCTTGTGCTCTCCTTTCCTCCGTCGTGGTCGTCGTCGACGCCCTCGCCTGCCCCTCCCACTTCCGCTCCGTCGCCACGGGTGGGCACCCCAGAGGGTGCCGCGCGCCGGGCCAGACACACAGGGCAATGCGCAAGGCACGCGGCGTCGACAGGAGGCCGCGTTGTTTTTTGACACGGTCGGTTATCCTGGATGTGCGCGCTGATGTTGTCGTACGTTGCAGATGGGCTGGGCACGTTCCTGGACGAGTCTCGATCCGGGCGCGTGGCCTTCGTTTCGGGCTCCGGCGGCCGCTGTCGGTCCCCGGGGCAATCAAAGGAGCCGACCCCGACCCCGGCCACGGGTTCGGTACTCCTACCAGAGAGAAACAACAACGCCCAAAGCTTATGTTTATGGCGTTTTTTCCTTTTACCTCTAGGGGCCACGGTTTGAACAACGGTATCGACCGATGCACAAACTGCTCTCAGGGCCTGCGGCATCTTCTGAGAGCTCCCTTGCCTTTGCAGAAGGCCCTACCCCGCTACCCAAGGACGCCGCGGTGAGTTCCGTTCGGCTGTCGCTTCGTTGCGCCCTCATAGCGGGGAAACGGAAGAATCGACTAATCCGGAACCCGGGTTTGCCGACGTTTTTTGATCAACCCGTCCTGGATTTTGACGGTCCAGTTTTCGTGTGATGTTTGCAGCGGGAGTTCGCGTCAAATTTCAGATTGGGCCCCGTCAGGCCAACCCAAGTCCCCCGTACCCGAATCTTACGTCTCCCCGGATCTAGGTTGCTTGCGGTCTGTCGGTTTCGGTCGGTTTCGGTTTGTTTTTGCTCGTGTTGCCACCGTCGTCGACCCTTTCCTCCGCCACACAGACATACGCATGGACACCCTCCGAAGGATTGTTCCTGGGCCTCAGGGGAGGGCGGCTGTGCATGAATTGCCATCCAGAGCCAGCGACTTGATACACCCCCACCCCCCCTGAAGGTGCATACAGAGTTCGTCGGAGGATGTCCGTGTGTACCTGTTCGTGGCGTGCGGTTGTGCTATCGCCGTCGTCGACCCCCTCCCCTCCCGCAACACCCCCAGCACTGGAGACTGCTGCGCGGCCGGCTCCGCTGTCCGAGCACGGCCCTCTCTGGCTTAGGCCAGCGCGTCCCTCGCCTTTGGGCTCGCTGCCACCGCGTCTGGCAGCGGAGCACCCTTGTCGCGGTGGGGTTGGCGGCATTGGCCCGCAAGCCTTGTCAGAAGAGGCACATCAAATATGAGATCGGCCGGCCAGAGGATTCGAGCACTAGCGAAGCGTCCTGGCTCGCCTATAGCCCCCACCAAAGAATGTTGCAAGATCCTTTCGTGGTCTGCACGACATGTCCTTAGAACATTTCTTGCTGAGACCGCCTTGTTTGAACACATCGGGTTTATGTGATAAGATCTTTTCCAACCATCCTGTGGTGTTGGGTCCTCGCTTTGAAGAGACAGCGCCCCGCGTCAATCCTTTCCTCCTCCCCCTCCTCCCCCTCCTCCCCCTCCTCCCGTCCCCCCCCTCACTTTGGAACACCCCTCATACGCTTCGTGGCTCCACAGGGAGCCCCACCGAAGGCCCAAATGCCAGCGTTCGCATGCGGCCACCGCACCCATTTTGGCACACCCCTTACACGTTTCGTGGCTCCACAGGGAGCCCCACCGAAGGCCCAAATGCCAGCGTTCGCATGCGGCCACCGCGCCCATTTTGGCACACCCCTCACACGCTTCGTGGCCCCATAGGGAGCTCCTCCGAATGCGGTGCATTCAACGACAGTAGTCACATTTGCATATGCTTGGGTCACTCGCCAGGCTCATTGTTTTCGTTATTAGGGCATTTTGAGTGCTACGAACAATTAGTGGTAGGCTGCAGGAATGCCTGGACGGTCGGTCGCTGCTCATATAATGCCCCACGGAAATGTCTTTCCCCCCGATGGCCCCAGAAGCCCACAAGAGCGCTGGGGCACCTTGGGACCCTCAAGGATCAACGAAGGATGAGCCCCAAAGTTTCTTCTTGAAAGGCGCGATTGTGCGTTTCGTGTTGTTTGTCAGCAGTTCGTCCACCGTTTAGGTGCACAATGGCTTCTTCGACCTGCTGTTCTCCTTTGCGGCCTTCGACAGGCCGCTGCCGCCAACACTGGAGGCCTTCAAGGCTGATCTGGGGGAGAAGGGGTGAAGGGCAAGAGAGTTTGCGAATGCCCCCCCTGCAGCGCGAAAGGGTGGGGGGTTATTGGGGTGCTCGTCCCTCCCCTCGAGGGGGCATATTTTCAACTCCCCCTCCATCCCCCTGCGGGCATCTGGGATTTTGCGGGGCGACGAACACCAGAGGGCTTATGAACCGCGTTTTCCCGCGTGTGTCCGGTGCTTTCATCGTGCCCGGGCATGCTCAGCGCGCGTTCTGCCCTTTGGGGGGCCGCTCCAGTCACCGGAGCTGGCACGCAGACTTCAATTCCATTCCATTTCCCCCAGTGCGCGCGGAGGAGGGGTGTGTGATCAGCCACGCGCAGAGGGGGGTGGGGGGAGGGGGGAGGGCTTCTTAGAAGCACTCCTGCTTCTTTTTGAAGGCGCAGGCCGTACCTGTAGATGTAAGGCCGGCGCCTTCTAAGAAGCAGCCTCCTTCTATGAAGCTCTCCCCGGCGGTGGAGGGGGCGCGCAGAGGGGTTTCGGGGGGACAGTGTTGGGCTTCGGGCCTGTCCCTCTACAGAAGGAAATTTTCAAAATAGTCAAACAATAGTCTGAAAACGGCTTTTCAACTATTTTTGAGCATTTTGAGTATTTGTTTGTATGTTTTTTTTTCGCTCAAGATCCCCCTGTAGAGGGACAGTCCCGACCTAAGGATAGTGTTGGGTTTCGGGTTAGTGTGTAAGGTTTGAGGTTACTAGCCACACGCAGAGGGGGGTCGGGGGAGGGGGGGAGGCTTCTCAGAAGCTTCCTGTTTCTTTTTGAAGGCGCGGGCCGTATCTGTAGATGTAGGGCCGGCGCCTTCTGAGAAGGAGCCTCCTTGAGAAAGCCTTCCTCCTCCCTCTACGCCTTTGTGCTCGCCGCTAAGATTAGCGGTCAGGGACTAGGGCGCGCGATGGCGCGGTTTAGCGCTAGAGATAGCGTTTAAGGTCAGGATTGGAGGGTTAGGGTCAGGGCATTTGGGATCAGGGTTGGAGGGTTAGGGCTAGGGCTGGAGCTTATGTTTCGGACTCGTGCTTCTGGTCGGATAATTGGCTTTTAGGTGAGAGCAGTGTTAGGAGATTGGGATTCGGTGCAGTGTTCAGGTTTAGGGTGTCAGGGATATGATGCCAGGGTCCATGGTTAAGGTGTCTATGAATAGCGTTCAGGGTTTGGATTCGGCTGCTATGATTAGACTTTGTACTTGGACTCTTGGCTTCAGGGGTAGGGTATGAAGGTGTTGGACGTCAGGGCTCATGGTATGGATTATGTTATGTTTAGAAGAAAGCTTAGGATGCTAGGTGTTAGGATTCGGGTTCGAGATAGTGTGTTAGGCAGATGGTCTGGATGCTATGATGAGCGTTCAATGGGCACTCCTAGGGTGTTCGTGCGCGGGCTTCGGGTTGGGGCGGTAGTGTTAGGGTTGAGGTGTTTGGGCTAGGGTTCGTGTCTAAGTTTTTTTGATAGGGTGTTCGGGTTCGGGTGTTCGCTGTAGGGTCGGATTCATCCTTAGGGCTTCATGATGTTAGGGTTCTGATGCAAGGGTTAGGGACATGATGTTGGGTTTGACGTGGAGGGTTGGGGGATCAGGTATGGATGCTACGATTCGGGTTGTCGTTTTGGTCTCGGTGTAACGGCCAGGGTCGGGTTTCGGGTTAGGCGATTCGGGGTTCGTCTTGGGTTCGGGCCTTCGCGTCAGGAGTAAGGGGTGTCAACGAGGGAAACGGGCGGCCTGCGTCCCGTCCGCAAAGGGGGCTAGGAAGGGCGGGCTGGGGGGGAGGATTGGCCTCCTGCCTGAGAGAGAGTGGGGCGGGGGAGGCCCCGCCCTCCCCGCTGGAGTGGGGCCGGGGGTGGGGGTCCCGGACGACGCGGGCGGACGGGGGGAGCCGAAGCGACAGTCTGGACGCCCGACATGGGCACTGAAAGGATGGGTACAATGCCAAACAGCAGTTCCTGTTCATGTTGAACAGGGCTCGCTGTCCGCGCTGCCGCGGCCTGTGTCCATTCGAGACAGAAGGCCGCCTGTCCAACAGCGGCCGCTGTTGGTTTGGGACAACATTTGTTGTTGGGCATCGTACCCATTCTTTCGGCACCCATTTCGGGTGTCCAAAGACAGACTTGGGGGAATGGGGGGAAGGAGGGGGACGCGACGACCCTCCCCCCGTGATGATGGGGAACCGCCTGCGCTCCCGGTGGGAGAAAGGGAGCAGTTGGGGAGAGGGAAGGGACGGAGCGTACGCCGAGACCGAGGGCGAGAGAGCACCGATGACGAGGAAGAGGGTGAAGAGGAGGAGCTGATGCGGCGGAAGGGAGGATCAGGAGGAGGAGGAGGATACTGAGATGGAGTGCACAGAAGATGAAGTGACACAGGGATGGATCACACGAGAAGGGAAGAGGGGAGGGGAGGGAGGGGATGAAGGGAGAGTAGAAGACGGGGACTGTGAGAAGACATGGGGTTGACGAGAGTAAAGAACGACATAGGCAGCAAGGAAGAGATCCGAGATGGGAGGGTGAGTTGGAGAAGGAAGCCGTGGGCGGAGAGGGTAAGAGCAAGTACGTCGAGGACACAGAAGAAGACTAAGTCGTCAAGGCTTCACATGTTCTAGTTCTCCTGACAGTCCGATGTTGTGTCTATGGTTGGTGACGTGTTCCCCACTCAGGGAATGTGTTGCAGATGTGTTTAACGTTCGCGATGGTCCCTGCAGGGCCCGAAGCGGATCTCTAGATGCTCAGTTTTTTATACGTACTGAAGGTTGGGGCAGAGTCCGCTCAACATCGGGCCCTGCGTTTTTCCTGTACGGATTTCTGCTTATGAGCACTGCGCGACCCCAATTAGTGGAAAGCTTCCTAAGTATGCAGCCCAGCAAGGAAGGCATTGCTTTGCATTGCTTGGGCCATTGCCCTGCATCGCTTGGGCAATACTTGGCATTGCGTGGCGTTGGTTATCATTGCGTGGTATTGCCTTGCATCGCTTGGCATTGCTTGGCATTGCTTGGCGTTGCTTGGCATTGCGCGGCATTGCTTGGTATTTCTTGGCATTGCTTGGCATTACTTGGCGCCGCCTGGCAGTTCTGAGCAGTGCTTGGCAACCCGGGGAACGCCTCATCTTCAAACACATACGAGTACCAAGAGTAGCCTGGGAAACCGAGCAAGGCTGGCCTCGAAACGTAAAGAAAGCAAGAGTACGGTCGTGTCGACCAGCGACGACCCGTCGCCAGCGTTCAACATTGAAAGCCGTTGGCGACTAAGAATCGGTCGATGTGGAACGATTTGACGTTTCGGAAACGGCCGGTCCTTCACTGTTGAACGATCCCCGCGGCGTCAGGAACCAACGCCGCCGGTGTCGGCACGACCCAAATTTGCCGTAAGGAACCTGGAGAACCATGGTGAGGCGAAACGGGACCAAAGGGCTCGGGGAACTTGGGTAAGGCTGGCCGGCGCAGGTGATCGTTTTCTTATTCATTGTTTTGCCCACCGGCGCAGGCCTTCGCTCCCCTCCCATCCCCCCACGGAGGAGATCTTGGCTGGTTTGGGCGCCTGCTTTTCAAGCAGGTGGAGCCCCTCTCCACGGGACGCGCCCCTGCACACAGTCGCAATCAGCAGAGGTCCGGAGCCAGACACCTCCCCCTCCCCCACCCAACTGGAGTGGCTCCAATCCCATATGTTTTACGTATGTTCCTGTATGTTGGGCCTCACCTGGAACACGAATCCTTGATGTTATACGTATGTTTCTATAGATTGTCCTTCTCCTGTGTGCACAATCCTGAATGTGTTACTTATGTTCTCATATTTTGGGCCTCTTCTGGGGCACGAGTCCTTGGTGTTTTACGTGTGTTCCTAGAGATTGCCCTTCTCCTGTGGCTCCAAGCCGTAATGGTTTATGTACGTCCTTCCGCGCAACGTCGAAACGCCAAAACGCCGACGCAGGGAGCCTGGGCCAGGCTGGCCGGCGCAGGCCCGACACCCACCGGTGGTTTTTCCCAGCGAGGAGCTCTTCGGCAGAGGCGCCTGGGAAGAGCGCGTGCGCTCCGCGCGGCGCACGGCGCACGTGGTCAAGAGTTTCACAACCCACCAAACCACCCCAACCCAACCCGAAGGCTTCAATTTGCCCTCCATTTCCAGGGGGGGGGGGGTCGGGGAACATCGAAAAAACACGTATGGAACCCATACCCCCCCCCACAACCCGAAATTCGGGTCTTCGGGTTGGGTTGGGGTGGTCTGGTAGGTAGTCAGAGCTTCAAAGACAGGGTGAGGCCAGCCGTGGTGGCGAGGAGGAGTCCCCCGTGGGCCAACCACGAAGGGGGATCTTTCCGTAGGGATGGACCGTGTCTTGGTCCGGGGGGGCATGGGGCCCCGTGGAGGGATCCCTGGTTGGTGCTCCACCCTTACGTTGGGCACGTCCATCCTGTAACACTAGTCTGGGGACGATGTTCTTGTATGTTTGATTATGTTTGGAGTTATGTTTTAATTGTTTCTGCGGGTATCCGCCTGTAGCAGGACATGCCCGACCTCATTCTACCCTGTTTCGCCCAAGTGATGCCAGGGAGAGGCCACGTACGCCTCCGGCGCTGCCAGCCCAAGTCGTCTCCACCACCCCAACCTAGCTTCACCCAGTTGCCGCGGAGCAAGCCCCGTGCGCTGATCTGGAGAGAGGTTGAAGTATCAAGTGAAAAAGTCCAATGACTGTCGCAATGAAGTGTCCAAAGGGCAGCGAGGGGCGTATGCAGCTCCTCCTTTGGTTGTGGATGGGCCACTGTTGCCCATCCAAGAGCTTTGCGGGCCCCGGAAGCGGCAGGGCCGTTGTTTCACCGTTTCCAAAAAAATGTCCCTTGAAAATGGAAACGGCAAACAAAGGCGACCGGAAACGGCAAATAAACGGCTCCAGGATTGGAACCGGAGCCGGAACCGGTCAAACAACGTCGACGGAACCGGTGCAGAAACGGCGTCGGAACCTGCAACAAAAACGGCCAAACGGAACCGGTAAAAACACGGCCTTGTCGTTTCCAGGGCCCGTTGAGTCCAAGAGGCCGATTGTTGCCTCATCCCAAGAAGAGGCCCGTGATGGCGACGACTCGGGTGCGGGCGGGGAAGATGTCGCTCGGGTTCTTATTTCGGTTTCTAGTGTTCCATGTTGCCGCCCCGTCCCGCCTCGCTGGCGCTCGTGGGCGCGCCGTGCGATGGGCGGGTCCGCCGGGAGTCCGCCGGGGCTGCGCCACGTTGCCGCCCGTACCGCCTCGTGGGCCTCCATGGGCGCCCCCGTGCGATGAGCTTGCGCCCCGCCGCATAGCTTACACTCCATCGCTTACACGACAGCGCTTAGACCACATAGCCTGTGTTCCATGTACTGCACCAGGTAGCCTACGCCGCACGGCTCTCACCTCCAGCTTGCACCACATATATGTTTCACGGCGTGGCCTGCCTTGCATGTTTCATAGTGCTTTGCTTTCACGCCCATTGCTCACACCGTATTGCATACACGACATACAGTCGGGGCCCTGAAGAAGGAACCCTTTTCGTTGGGGAGGGGCTCCGTGTTCCTTGATTGTTTCACAATTTGCCTTGGGTGTTCCTTTGTTTTCGATGGGAAATCGAAGTTCAACTTGTGGATGAAAGGGGCCTCGTTCCTGATTCAGGGTTCCTTGGGTCAACGCTCCGACTGTAGCTTACACCTTTTAGCTTACACCTTTTAGCTTACACCTTTAGCGTTGCATATTTCATAGTGCTTTGCTTTCACGCCCATGGCTCGCACCGTATTGCATACACGACATAGCTTACACCTTTTAGCTTACACCGCACAGCCTTCCCCTCCACGGTGCAACGACCTACTGCTCGGGTGCCCACACGGGCCAACATGCAAACCGCATAGGCATCCTGACACGCGTCGGCCAGCGTGGGCCCCGTGCAGCAAAAGCTATCGCAGCCTCGATGTGCCATGCATGTATGCAAATCGATAGACGTACGTGTTGCAATATCTGCGATGCATCCTTCAGGAGGGGGAAAAAAACACACACACAGACACAATCAATCGTCGATCCCCCAGAACATATGGGAAACTATGGGAAGTGGGGGGGAAGACAGAAGCCCAGAAAAGGTAGGAGAATGTGGGGCATATGTTTATTTGTTTGTACTTGTTTGTGTGTCCCAGGGCCTCTTCAATTCTGTGCGTGGTGCCATCGATGTGCTTCCGGCTATGTCGGTGAGTGCTGCGCGGCGCGAGCCACGTGCAGGCTTTGTGGTGCGAGCTGTGTTGTGCAGGCTGTGTTGTGGCAGCTGCGTGGTGCGAGCGATCGGATGCAGGGTATATGGTGTGGTATCCGTTCGAAGAAGAACAATCCACATACAGATAAACTTTTGGCGATGCGGGCGGATTCCTTGGATCCGCGCTGGGCCCCATGGCGCCGCCTCTGGCGCCGCCCTTGGCGCGCTCCGCGCGCCAGGGAGGAGCAGATCCAAGAAATCCCCGCGGAGCGCCAAAAGTTTATGTTTATTTGGTGCTTCTTCCATGCAAGTTGTGCGAGCTCTGCCGCGTGATAAGTGCAGCGCAAACTGTGTGATGCAGTGTGATGCTTAGCTCCTAGAGCCAGGCGACGCCAGATGTAACAACTTGCGCGGAGCACGTGCCGAACGTCCGGCCACCGAGCAGGTGCTGCTGATTTGGCCTTGTGCCCGCGAGCCTCCGGTCGAATGTGTTTACACTGCCACTGTGAACAATACGGTTTGGCAGATGATCGATAGATTTGAACATGCCGAGACAGCCCGGTACTGGTGGGTTTGTTTCTCACCCGACAAGATGAGGCAGGTGAATTTGATCATAAGATCGCCCGACTCGCCTCGCACACCCTGCATGCCGCGGCTGGTAGGTCTAAGATATGCCGGTGACTCCTGGGTATCCCGCCTCGCGTTTTCGACAAATGACGACTTGCGCGCGCTAGCGCGGTCGTAGCGATGCGCCAGCCAGCGCCAAGCAGGCATCGCAATCGCCGCCTCGTGGGTTTTGCAAGACCATGTGTGGGTGGGTGGGTGGGATTGTGCGAGCAGTTGAGGTGACAGTTCAAGTGCGGCAAGGCGAACTGCGCCACATCCACTGCACCGCATAGACTGCACAACAGAGTGGGAACAAACTATCCAAAAACATGCCCCCCCGGGGGTCTCAAAATAGATGAGTTGGGCAGGCGAATAACATCCAGCCTCCAGAACGGAGTTTTTTAGTAGTCTGCCCCCCCCCCCCCGACAATTGTTCTGCCGTCGCGGTGGTGGTGGTGGTGGTGGTCGTCGTCGTCGTCGTCGATTACAGCGGTCATACGCAGCACCCCCCCCCCATGGGGCATCCGCATTGCGTCGTCGTCGTCGTCCGTTGTCGTTGTCTTCGTCTTCGTCTTTGTCGTCATGTTCGTCGTCGAGTACAGCGGGCCTACGCAGCATATACGCCCGTTTCCCCCCCAACATAGGGCATCCGCAGTGCGTCGTCGTCGTCGCCGTCGCCGTGCCGTCGTCCGTCGTCGTCGTACTCGTCCTCGTCTGAGTTCTCATCCTCGTCTCCGCCGTCGTCGTCGTCATCGTCGTCGTCGACCACAGCTGCCTGCGCAGCAAACCCCCTTACCCCCATCAGGCATCTGCAGTGCCGTCGTCGCCGTCGTCCATCGTTGTCCTCGTCCTCGCCCTCATCCTCGTCGTCGTCGTCGTCGTCTGGTGTCGTCGTCGTCTTCGTCGTTCTCGTCGTCGTCTTTGTGCTTGGCGCAGTCGTCCGTCGTCGTCGTCGTCGTCGTCGTCGTCGTCGTCGTGCTCGTCCTCGTCTCATCCTCGTCGTCGTCGTCGTCGTCGTCGGTCGTCTTCGTCGTTGTCGTCGTCGGCTACAGCGGGCCTGCCCAGCACTTTTCTCCCCACCCCATTGGGCAGAGTAGCAGGAGGGAAAGGAAACGGGGGAGAAGGATGAAGAAGCGGAAAAGGTGGACGAGGAGGAGGAGGAGGATGAGGAGGAGAGGGAAGCGGATGAGGAGGAGGAGGGAGAGGAAGAGGAGGAGGACGGGGATGGGCAGGGGTTAGGGGGAGGCGGAGAAGGAGGAGGCCAACACATAGTTGTCTTCAAGGATCTGGTTCGCAAACTGTTGGCGGCCTTGTGCACCCCTACCCCCCCCCCCGAGGGCCCCCCGGACAGCCTGGGATTGGTCGCCCTCCGTCGGCCCGCTCCCCCCTCCCCTATGATGCGGGCAACCTGGCCGGCGAATATAGCGTCTTGGGCTCGATCGTCACCCTTCGCCCGAGATCGTTGAGAGGATTGTGCGGGCTTATCACATATATAATATTGTCCGCACCGCCCCCGCTCTCGGCCTTCTCGACAGTGAAGAGGCTCTAGGGAGGCATCATTACAATATACGGCGTGCTGCCCAGTCCCTTGTAGAGCACTCTAGAGCGCCCTTCTACGTCTGTTCGGCGGGACCCGTCTGGACTCCTCAAGGTACGAGTGATACATATATATATATATGTGTACATATGACAAGTAAATCTTCCGGCCCAAACACTTCTTAACGCTTGCTCCCAGTAATGTGCGCAGCATCTGTTGCACAACGTGTGCTGCGCAACGTAGATGGCACGGCCAGACTGCACAGCGCATAGTGCACCAAATAAGTTGCACCACGTTGATTGCACTCCAGTTGGTGCACCGCACAGATTGCACCGCTTCGATTGCACGCCATAGACGACACAACGCATCGGTTGCACACTATATATTCCACCTTACAGGTTGCTCAACGCAGGTTGCGCCACATAGCTTGCACCACATCACAGCATACATTACACAACGTATGCTGCGCAGCATCATTTGCACCACATAGACTGCAATCTATAGAGTGCACACCACAGATTGCACTTCATAGGCTGACCCACAAATCTTACTAAACATAGTTTGCACAACGTACACAACATATATTGCACCACGTATATTGCTTTACATCCATAGCACCACATAATCTCACCTGCGAAGCATACACTGCACAACATGGATTGCTATAGACACGCTGAACAAACCCCACATGCCATTCAAGCAGCATCTGTTGCTTGAGAGTCTTATCGACGACAATAACGACGACCATGTCATGTTTGATCACCGCCCGAGGCTCAGGTGCACCTGGCCTTCCCCGCCGTTTTCGACACGAAGGTCGGCGTGGTCGTCGTCGTCGCCGTCGCCGTCGTGGTCGCTGTTGTTGTCGTCGTCCGCCGTCTTTGCAGTCGCCCTCGTCATCGCTGTCCCCGTGGTCATAGCCAGGCGTCGGCGGCGTCGGCGTCGGCGTCGTCGTCGTGGTCGCTGCCGCCGTCGCCGTCGCTGTCGTCTCCGACACGTCGAGTCCTTTCAGCCCCTCCAGCGAACAGTCACCTCATGGGCCCGAGGTCCAAGGACAGGCACCTGGAGGCCAAACGCTGTGACAGGCCGGCCAGACCTCGAATCTTCACGAGGCGCAGGGCGGTAAAAGTTGGCCCCTTGGACTTGTCGTGGGGAACTTCGAGGCGGCTCCAGCCGTGGTGACGAGGAGCACCGCAGAAAGGTGCCAACGTTTCAGGAAGCCGCCCCTAGCTTGCATGTTCCGGCGCAGCCCCGCTTGATCTGGCTGTATCTTTGGATGAGTCTGGCTTCGGTCAGCTTCAAGGCCCCGGAATCGGGTCAGTTGCCCCTCATCGTTCTCACGATGGGCTCCCAGAAGTGGCTTCCTAACAAGGGGCGGGCGGGGCCCCTATTCTTTACCGAGCGCGTTCCACTGATCGCAAAAGCGCCCTCTGGCCAACGCCAGAACCAGAAGAAGCACACGTTTGCCTCGACGTTGGTGGATCGCGAGTGCCCCGCGGCGGAGCCGGGCCACCTGCGAGCAGCTCGCCTGCGAGGTAGTGGGACGCGCCTGCTCTCAGTCTGTGGGGAAGCCGCCCGCTGTCCCCAGACCCCCGACGTCATGATTTTTTCATGACGCGACCCCCAGAGGTCCGGACCTATTCGCCGGGACCGGTTTCTCATCCCGAGTCGTTTTTTGACGGTCCCGAGGGCCGGTAAGGGCCCCCAGAGGCGGAAAATATGGAAAAACCTTCTGTCGTGATTTTTTCATGACTCGAGGGGGTCTGGGTCTGGTGAGGTCCTGGGCGAGACCCCGGAGCTGTCGGGCCGGCTCGGGCCGCGCACCGTGCTGGCCGGCATGGGCGAGGCGCTCGGCAGGAGGACCTGCCCGCGCCGGGGGCGGGGCAGCGGCGGCGGGCGCCCGGGGGGGCCGTCGGGGCGCGCCTCGGGGCTCGTCGGCGCGGCGCGGAGCGGGTCGTCGTCGCGTCGGGCGGCTCGGGAGCTCGTCGGCGCGGTTTCGGGCAGACGCGACAGAGCAGATGGTCAGAGGAGGGAAAGGTACCCCAGCCTCTACCCTTGCCTCGGTTTCCCCTTCTGTTTTGTTGTTGGTTGATTGCCCCAGATGGGGGCGGAGGGCCGCGCCGTGTTACCGATGCATCGGCGTGATCATGAGTAACCGAGCGCCCTGGATATGAAAGCATCCACCCCTGTCAGGGCTGAGATTGATTATATGGGCCAGGACGGAATTGGTCGGGGAAAGGGGCGGCGAGGCCGAACTGCAGTATCGCCGGGGAAGGTACGAATCTACATTGCGATCTTCTTGTCTTGAATGGTATCACGAACGTGGTGCAAGGCCATGGATTCTTACCGCTCAAGCTTTCCTAACCTACTAACGTGAGGCAAGGCCGCGAGGTTCTCACCACTTCAGTTTTCCCAGGCCACGAACGCGTGGCAAGGCCATGCTATTCTCATCATGTCAGCTTCTCCGAGGTCACGAACGTGTGGCAGGCCCATCGGATTCTACAGTCCCACGTCTCGAGCGGGCGGCGGTTGCCCCCCCCCCGCGACGCAGAGCCTCGCGCGGGGGCCCGGGCGGCGCGGCCGCGGGCGGGGCGCGGGAGGCCGCCCGGCACCGCTCCTCGCGCTGGCGCCGAGCGGAGGTCCGCGGCGCGGCGGCTGCAGTTTGAGGGGGCCGCGGTGGGACCAGCGCCAGCGGGCGCGCCAGCGCCAGCAGGCGACGGGCAGCGCGGAGAGGCGCCACGCGGGGGCGCGCGGGCGCGCGGGCCAGGAAGCGGCCGTGCCTCCCCGCGCGCGCGGCCGAGCCTGCGGCGCAGCCTGCGCCGCCGCCCTCTGGTGCTCCGCCCGGGCGGCCTGCCAGCGCTGCCGCGGGGGGGCGGGCAGGCGGGGGGGGGGGGCGGCGTGGAGCGCCGGGGAGGACGAGGTCACTGCAGACCATGGCCACGGGCTGCACGCGCCAAGGGAAGCGCGCTTCGTGCCGAGGGCGCGGGACGTGCGTGTGGGCCACCAGGGGGTGCCGAGAGCCCTGCGTCCATTTGCCCTGGCCCACTCCTGCCACCGACGGTGACGGAGCGCGCGCCTGCCCGTAGTTATTTTGCTCCCACCGTACCCGAATCCCAGAAACAATTTCGAGCACCCAAGAAGGGATCGAAACAGTCTCGAACGAATATCGCCTGCCAGGGCCCGACACGCGAACACCCTCCAATGTCGGTACTTTCCTGGTGCTCGAAATTCTTCCGGGTGGTCAAGGTTAAAGTAGGTTGGAACGTCATAAGCCCACAGGCGCATTCGGCGGGGACGCGTGGTTAATAATTTTCACTACCCCTCAGGTGCGAGCTTGGCGGGGGGTAGGCCCCGCTTGGGCACTCGGGGCGTCTCGGCTCCGCTGGCTGGGCTGCCGCGTGGCCCTCGTGGGCTGTGGAGGTATCCTTTGGCTTGTCCTCTAGGCTCGCACCTGAAGCCTTAGCAGAGGCTGCCTGGTCGGGGGTTTCTATGCTCCCTTCTTCGGTTTGGCCCCTGTGGGCCGCGCCTGGGGATCATCTCTCCGGTGGGAGTTTTCTTGTGGCGGTGAGTTGTCTCTAAAGTGGGGTCTGAGTGCATCTATCATCGGCCTTCGGCCCAGGTTAGGGCGCTGGTTTAGGGAAATTGCGCGCCAGAGGGGGCGATGCACACTCGCATGCACAACATCCTCGCAACTCTGGGCCCCTAATTGCCGCGCGAGGGATGGTCCGGCCCGTTTCGCCTGAGACATCCTCGCCACTCTGGCCCCCCAAACGGACGGAATTGAGGTGGCCCAGCCCATGTCGCTTAAGCATCCTCGCGACCGTGGGCCCGGAGATGCCCCGCGAGAGGTGGTTCGTCCGTCCAGCCCGCTGGGGCATCCTCCTGGGCATACAGATGCTGCGCGAGAGGTGGCCCCGCTTGTCTCGTACGAGACATCCTCACACTTCCGGGTTCCGAGAATGCGAGGGCTGAGGTGGTCCAGCCCGTTCCGTTCGAGCATCCTCGCAGCCCTAGGCCCAGAAATGCCGCGCGAGAGGTGGTTCGTCTGGCCCGTTTCGCCTGCTGGCTGTCGGAATTGTGGGCTCCCTGATGTCGCGCGCGCGCGGTGTTCTGGCCCTTTCGCTGGGGACATTCTCGCAACTCTGGGCTCCCAGATGGCCAGGAGTGTTACAACATCCTCGCCATTCTGGGCTCCGAGATGCCGCGCGCGATGTGGTCGAGCCTGTTTCGCCGGAAGCATCTTCGCAACTCTGGGCTCCCAGATGTCGCGCGCGAGGTAGTCTGGCTTCTTCTGCTGACGTGCTCAGAACTCTGGACTCCGAGACGGTCTGGGGTAGTCAGATGCCCGACTACGTCGGCACCCTGCTGGGGCGCCGGCGGCCGCGCTGCCCGCCCTCTGTCCGCGAGTCTAGAGGCAAGCGTCCTCACCCGAGGCAGCAATCACCCAACGCCGCGGCCAGAGCAGGCGTCCTGGGCCCTCCGCGCAGAGGAGCGGCCAGCCTGCGCAGGGGGGTCCCCGGGCGAGAGCGCCGTGCCCGAGCAGACGTGGCGCGGGGTTCTCTCGAGGCGGAGCGTGGCGAGGCGCGAAGAGGGCGGGGGGCGGCTGGGGAGGAGGGGGGGGGCAGGACGAGGGAGGGAGGATGGGAGGAAAGAGGGGGGGAGACCAGGGCTCGTTTCGATTCCTCCGATTCGATTCGATTCGATTTCGATGGTTTCCGATTCCGATTCGATTCGATCTGGGATTCCGATTTGAGTTCCGATTTCTCACTGGAGGCATACCAGCCTGCCGATTTCTGCCGATCCGACTTTTCCCGACTCGGCTGCCGATTTCCGACGATCCGATTCATGTCGATCGCCGATCCGACTTGTCGATCCGATCCTGGGCTCTCCTGGGGAGAGGGGAGGGAGAGAGAGGAGGAGGGACGCGGGCACAGGACCCAATGGCGAATCTGAAGACTTCCGTGCGAGCAGTCAGTAGCAGGCGCAAAGGCGGGGCCAGTCACGCGTGAAGGAGTCCCAGAAAAGGGGGAGCGCAATGCGCGAGTAGATGTTGAGGCGATCCTCAGCGAGAGGATGAATGGAGAGGGGGGGGTGACGAGGATAAACCACTAGAGCAAGGGTGCGCGAGGAGAACCAGTCAGAAAAAAAAATGTTTTAGTGGCATGGGGAGGAGGAAGAGGAGATAGTAGAGAATTAGGAAGAAGAGTAAAGATAGTAGAGAGGAATTAGGAGGAAGAGGAAAGAAGTAGGAATTAGGAGGGAGAGGAGATAGTAGAGAATTAGGAAGAGGAGATAGTAGAGACGTAGGAAGAAGAGGAGAGACGAGGGAGAGGAACCTCCAGAGGTGCGTGAGATTATTGCAGAGGGAAATATGGCGCGGGAGGGGAAGGTTTTTTTTGCATTCCTTCGTTCTGGGACAGTTTTTTTTGCAATCCCTGTTTTTCTGCAATCCGTCGTTCGGAAGAGGATGACGAGGAGGAGGCGGAAGAGGGGGAAGACGACGACGGCGACGATAATGATGACGACGAGAGTGCAGACCGATCGGGACCAGGAGGACGAGGATGATGCGAGGGCAGTGTTTGGTGACTGTTTGGGAATACGGGATTCGGGCTTCTGGCTATCATGATGTGAGGCGCCCAGCGTCTATGGGAGGGGAGGAAAGGGGACGCCAGCCCAACGCGCTATTCAGCGGACGGCGCACCTCAGCGGCGGCCTCTCGTGCGAACAGTTCCCCGCGTCGTTCTTGTCACGCATTATGCCTACTCGCGGGTGCGCAAGCGCCTAACGGCTGGATCGGTGGCTCACGCTCACACGCCCCAGCCGCGCGCCCGTGTCCCGCACATCCGGGTTCCTTCCCTCCCCTCGTTCTTCACCGGCACCGCTACGCGTACTCACTGAAGGTTACTGTGGAAAGTTGCCGAAAGTTGCCACTCTAGGGTCTCGTTCTGGCGTTGCAGCGCTGCCCACATGGGGGAGGTCTGGGTTCGCCATGTCCCCGGCCCAAGTACCCGTCAGTGGAATTCCCGTTCGAGGGGTTGATCCTTGAATTTTGGTGGGGGAGGGTGCGCGCTGTCGCTGGCACTCACTTGGGTGGGCTGTCGCGAAAAACCTGGGTGCTGAGAGACCCCTCCATATGGAAACGCCCACCCCCCCCACTGGGCGCGAACGGAGAGGTGTTTCACGTGGCGCCACCGTGCGATTGGCGCGACTGCGTAAGAATGTGTGGGCGAAACTCGCTCGCGCAGCGAAGCCGTCAGCACGCGGATCTCGCGATGCGCGGCGCTGCCGCAGCCCGCGCGCCGCCTTTTGTTGGCCGCTGCGAGATGAGCTGCCGGGCTCGCCCGCGACCTAGGCGCGCGCCAGCGGAGCTGAGGAGGCGAGGATGGGGCGAGGCAGCGGGGCACCCCGAGGGAACCGCCTTCTGAAAAGGAAGGACCGCGGAGGGGAAAGGGGGAAGGGGGGGGGCAACAGAGCAAACCGATGCACGAACGGTGCTGCAGTACATGCTCACGTCCCCGATCCCACCCTCATCAGTCGTGATACCCGGGACATAGCAATGGGGAGGTATGGCGGAGGCGGGGATGAGGTGGTGGAGGAGGACGGGCGATCTCCTAGTTTTGCGGTGCGTTTCCGATCAGAGGCGCGCCCGAAACGAGCCGCGATTGAATTTAGCCCCGCTCCTCGGTCTGCTCCGCCTGCATTTTCCGGAACGTGGTGGGCCCCTGGGGCACGTGGCCACCAAAGCAGATCATGGAGTCGGCACCTCTCAGTGAATTGCGTGTATGGGGGCCGTTTCTTTCTGCCACCAGTCGTGGCGCCTGATACGTAGAGGGGGAGGTTTGGGATGAGGGTGGATCAGA